TTGTTTTGCGATTAACACATCAGTTTATTATATATGATTTGTATTATTAGTATATATATCGTTAATATTATAGTTAATAATAGTCACATGATTTAATATAATTAAACATAATTATATAATTATTAATTTTATATAACTATATGACTATTATTAATGTTATTATTATTATTACAATTATTATTATTATTATTATTATTATTATTATGTTTGCAATTATAATTATTATCACAATAGTATTCTTCTCATTCAGCTACATACAATGTTGCATTCCAACATTATCTTGAAAACGGAAAGTGAGAATATTTTAGAAATTCATGAGCTATCTTCATCCACTTCCATTGGTGGCCAAATTTTAGTCAATTCGCTGAGCGGTACGTCGTACAGAAGCTGATGATATTCATCTAAAAGGACTGAAAGGTAAGCAGATATTAGATATTAGATAATGCATACAGAATATAGGCAGATTTGTATGAATATGTCTTACAATCTGGTTCGGTGTCCCATAGGTTGAAGAGCGCCTCTCGCGAGAAGATTTTCTTATTTATCAAGGCACGCTTGAAGCGCACCACCTTGTCATTCAGATCCGACCAGCTCTTGATGAACGAAGAGGGCGACGACTTCAACTTCCGCTTAAAGGCGGCCAGAGCAGGGCAAACCAATCCGTCCAGTAGGAACATTGCAAAGTAACTAAAACAGAGAGAGGGAGAGAGAATAGCTATTAGATAATACTATCTAGAATATGGATGTGTTCAACCTACCAGCACGTCCTCTCGCTGAATGGCATTTGGTGCTCGCACAGAGGCAGCTCCCAGCCTGCTTTTCCAAAGGTGACCTTGGCGTTGCAGAAAATGCGCCCATTTTTCTCATAATAGCGTGGTGGTGGGTCCTCGTACACCTCGTGCACATTGCACAGGTGCGGCACAAACACCAGCAACCATTCCGGCTGAATGGCCGTAATGCCAGTTAGGAATATCTTGGTGCTATCGCCGTGCTGCAGCTCGAATACATCTTGATATATCACCCAATCAGGTGATTCTGCCTTCAGCACCGAAGCAGAGTGCAGAAATGCCGGCTCCTCCATATCGGCGCAGTTGTAGGCAAACCTGAGCCGGCGTCGCTCCTCCTTGTCGCTAATCTCCTCAAGCGGCACTTTGCGTGCCACCTTATCGCCCATTCCCGCAAGCAGGATCTGACGCAAGGCTCGTGCTTGCTCGCTAGATGGAGGAGGCAACTTCGGATTTACGAACAGGTTTATATCCGGTATGAGCACATTGATCGCGTTGACCAGCTGGCTGCGTAGCTTGCGCACCTCCTTCATGGCGTTGTAGCGAATCCAGTTGGCCTCACAGTGGCGAATAAGATCTTTGTCGTTGTCTTGACGATCGCAGACACACACGGCACGCAGCATCAGCATCGGATCACCCAGCAAATGGAACTCGTCGTTTGATAAACTTGAGGGTCTACGATTTACCAGCTTCGGCTGCTCATCGCCCTGCTCGAGGTCGCTGTGGTGGATGAAGAGCTCCGGCACTGACAGAGCAGCAACCAAATTGACCGTGTAGGGCATCAGCTCGCGTTGAGTGGATAGCGCAATGACTTTGCCAAAGCGTGGCGCCACTGGGAAGCAAGTGACAGTTTCGCCCAGACGGGTAACACGCGGTGGATTAGTCCCTTCAGACCCATCTGTTGCACTCGGTGGCTCTAGGGCGCCGAGCACTAGCAGTCGGTATTCGGCCGCCTTCAGTTGCTCTTGGTCAGGCGGCGATGGAAATGGAAAGTTAATGATGCGATCGATGCCCATGCAACGCATCTTCAACATCAAGTCATCAACAGGCTTCTGCAGTATATCCGGGGGGCTGAAGTCCGGGAAGATGTCATTGTACACTGCACTCGAATAGAGGCGATAGCAGTGCCCAGCACTTATGCGCCCAGCGCGTCCAGCTCGCTGATCTGCCGATGCTTTCGACGTGTACGTCACCACGAATGTGCTGACTCCGGTTATCTTGTCGTAGAGCCGTGTCTTCTGCTTGCCACAGTCCACAACGTATTTGACATGCGGTATGGTCAGAGAGGTCTCCGCTATGTTGGTGGCCACCACGCAGAGGCGGCAGCCTTCGGGCACTGGCTGGAAGATGCGTTGCTGTTTCTCCGACGACAGCAGCGAGAACAATGGCAGCACCCACATGGGTTGCTTGGCTGCTGAACTCTGTAGATTAGCCAAATCATCAATGTCCTGTTCCTCCCCCTCATCCTCGTTGTCGGACCCCTGTGGATTTGCCTGCTCATGCACATCTGCTTCGGTATCATCGCCTGGCAGCTTATAGTCATCCAAATTGATCTTGGGCATGGTATAAGGGAATGCCGGCTTCCTTTTGCGTGGATTGCGTTCCTTGCGCTTCTTATCGAATTCCTCGTCCAGCGCTCTCTCCTCGCCCTTGTCGGCCTCCTCCTGCTTATCTGGCTTATCTGGCGGCTGCTGCTTCGTCTTCGTCTCCAACTTATTTTTCTGCTCCCCGTACGGAAAAGCCTTGCGCAATTTCCGCACCAGTCGCATCACCTCCAGCTGCCCCGTTACAAAGATCAAGATGCCCCCCTCCGGCAGCTTCGCGTGAATCTTGACTGTTTTCCTAAAGGCCTCCTGGATATAGTCCTCGGGCGTATGCTTCTGGAAATGAATGGTCACGGGAAATTGCCTGGCCTCCACTTTGATCAGGGGCGGCGGCACTTTGAACAAGTGAGTGTTCTCCGTGAAGTCGCTGACACGCAGCGTGGCCGACATGATGATCAGCTTCAGTTCATTCCCGCGCTTGTTGCGCAGAGGCACAATGCGCGAGAGGAGCCCAATCAAGATGTCTGTATTGCTGGTGCGCTCGTGTGCCTCGTCGAGCACAATCACGGAATATTTGCTCAGTAGAAAATCGGTTTCTATCTCCTTCAGGAGCACGCCATCCGTCATGAATTTGATCTTAGTAGCTGGTGTGACGTTGCCCTCGAAGCGCAGTAGATAGGACACCTCGCTGCTGGGCAAGTTCATTTCGTGGGCCACACGCTGCGACATCGATATGGCAGCCACGCGACGTGGTTCGGTTATGCCAATCATTTTATTCAAAGCATAACCAGCCTCATACAGAAATTGCGGCACCTGGGTTGTCTTACCAGATCCTGTTGCACCCGCAATTATTACAATGGGATGCTCATTGATTAGCTCCATCACCTGCTGTTCCTCGGCAAGTATGGGTAAGCGGAGGCGAGCCGCCTGCACCTCAGCTGTGCGATTGACTGGCACGTAGACTGTCTTGTGAATCGATGTTGGTGTGCCGGCAGGAGCGGGATCTGATTTGGAGTCCGCATTGCGAATAGCCGTTAGTGAGGGCATATCTGGCAGCTTTTTGAGCAAGTGATCCAATTGCTCGTTTTTAGCTAGTGGCTGTTGTTCCTCTTTAGCTGGCAGATCAGTCTCATATTCCTTCATCTCCTCTTTTTTCTTGTCTCCACTGTCTACTTCCTCTTCCTCTTTTTCTCCGTTACGGTTTTCGCCCATCTCCTCTTCTTCCTCGACAGCGTCATCGTCCTCCACCTCCGTCTCCCCGCTACTGTCTTCATCATCATCTTCTGATTCCTCTGCATTAACTATATTCGGATTAATGCGTTTTGCTTCCAGCTCTTCTTGCTCCTCTACGAGCAGTTTACGTTTGCCGCCCTTGAGCGCATTAACACGCTGGACGCCGCTCTTGCTCTGTTGCATTTCCTTTTGTTGCTGACTCTGACGCTCTTTTTTCTTGACCAAATGCTGGTCTAGCTTGTGCAAGCGCTTAAGCCCAACTGTCTGCACCTGGCTAATCGATGTGTACTGATTTAGTTCGGCCTCAGGTATTTGCACAGCGCCCAGATCTTTCAGCAATTGCTCGCGCTATAACAGAAAACATCTTAGAAGTTAGTAATTTCTGAATAAATTCAGCTACACTAGGTCTAATTATTTTGACGAATTTTTTTTGTGACTATTTAAGCAAAGCTAATAATCTATTTATTATGCTTATGCTGATTACCTTTTGAATATTTAAGCAAAGCTAAATAATAATATATTTATTATGCTTAAGCTGATTACCTTTTGAATTTTCTTTTTACTGAATTTTGACGAAAGTTTTTTTCAACTGTCTTCACTTTTTAGCATTTGACATCAAAAAAATTTTATAATATGCCGGCGCGTTGACGTTTAAATCAAAGCTTCTACGAGTAAAACTAAAATCGAAATCAAATTTTTGTTGCTAGAATGCAAAATGCTTGTAATGAAAAAATCACTGGCTCTGAAATAAGGTTAATATTTGATTATTTTATATGATCTTTCCTTCCCGGATAGGCAAATCGGGAAATCATTTCTCGTGTAGCAGGATAATATTCTGTGCCATGATAACTCGGGTGACATTTAATTTTATTTAGGATGTTGGCATTAAATTCATAATGTAAAAGAGAACTTCATATAAATTTATATAAAAAAGAGAAATAAATAAAAAGTTCTGAATGAAACCATCAAACGAACCGAAAATATCTTCGTCAAAATAATTATGTGGATAGTTTGCTTTACTTACACCTTCTTTCTTTTTCTTTTTGTCTACAATGGCCTGTAAGTTCTTCCGTTGCTTCTTTGTTAGAATTTTCACAACTTTATGTTCTTTTTCTTTAATTTTTGTTGCCCGTTTCTTTGAGGGCAAAGCTAAGGCATTTGCCTCGTCGTAGCCAGTGGGAATAGATCCGTTGCCATTGACCGCATCCTCGCCTTCGATTATAATCTGCATCCGAATATATTGGTTGAATTCATTGCGGTAATAGTTGGCATCCACTATACTTACATCTTTGGTTGTGGAATTATCAACCATAATATCCGGATTACGCCGGGCTTTGGCATTAAATTTATTTTTTCCCATTTTTGAATTAGTTTTTAACTTTTCAAGCTAGTTCTTTCACATCTGTCACAAAACAAACTCCCATGCACGTGCTGACAGCAGTCAGAGATGTGATATTGGGATGTTATATTTTATCGATATCATTGAAAACAATAATAAATCGGCTGTAAAACAATTTTGGTATTTAGTGCTCTTAGAGATGTGCACTGATCTGTTTTTAAAAAACACGGCAATTATAGCTAGATAATTAATTAATTGAGAGAGACAAGCGTATTGAAATTATCGTACAATGAAAATATTTCGAATCTAAGTTGTTTTGCTTTGCTATGTTTTAGTTTTAGTGAGAACTCATAATTAGCAATCATTTAAAAATTTATGAACATATAACACGTACAATTTAATGTCACGATTTGTAAAGAAATATCGCCAGATGTGTGAGAATTTGGAACCATCTGGCAACTCTGTCAGCACTGAAAGAGAGCGCGAAGGAGAGACGAACCGTGTGAGAATGCTCAGCGATTGGCAATCCCGCGTAGCAAAAAAAAGGCCTTGTGTGTTTTGTTGTTTTCATTTTGTATGTGGTGCAGCATATTACTGTTCTATAAAACCGTTAATTTTTGTTTTTAGTATACATATATATTTACAAAAACAAATGCGATGACAAGTAAAACCGATCCAGTGCGCATTGTGCTGGCAAATCTAATTGCCGAATCGCAGTAAGTGCAGAACGCCGAACAGATGCGCAGCTCATACATACAAGTTTTTTTTTTCTTTTGTTATTTTTTTGTTTTTGTTTTGAATCATAAATTGTAACGAAATTATTTGCGTAGAACGCCATATACGCCGGACAAGATACTCCGGGAATTCCGTGCCACAGTTGACAAGCGTCTCTCAGATAGAGAGCTCCTCTTCCTGCTCGAGTCCATCAGTTCAAAGCGTCCTAATTGTCGTGAAGTGCTCGATGAGATAAGCGACACACTTGTAAGGTTCGTATAGACAGACTGACATAAAATGAACTAGTTCATTGACATCTACTGTTTTTCCATTTGTGTGCGTGTTCCTTAATTATAGTTATTGTTAATATTATTTTTTTTAGCAAGGATCCTATGTACGCTTTGCTGGTCTTTGCGGAACGAATAAACGACGAAACAATGTGGCAGTCAAAATACAGCGGAGGCAACAACTCGAATCTCAACCCCAGTAAAAATTCCGAAATGTCAGCGCCGTTGCACGACTCGGAGCTGGGCAGTAATTCTGCACGTAAGTCCTTGGATTTGTCGACATCAACGCCAGTTAGCCGGCGCTTGCCCGAGGATACCCCAGCATTGTCCACAATTAGTGCAACAAGTGCACCCACTTCATTTACGCGTCGTGGGTTACCTAATACGCACAATCCAAAAGACCATTTCCCGCAGCGTGGAGATCTAAGTGTGGTGGGTGGCATAAAGCCAACTATATTTATCTAGCATTAGTTACCTCTTTCTTGTATGTAGATCAAGAAACGTGTGCTGAATGCTGTTTCGAACAGCTCTGCCTTGACGGGCACCATTGATCAGTTGCTCAATAGCAGCAACAGCAACAAACTGAAAGCACAAAACCTCGCAGCAGCAGGAGCAGGAGCTGGAGTTGGCCTAGCTGCTGGTATTGGTGCTCGCGGTACTGCCGGTCGAACTGTGAACGTGGAATCGAGCCCGGGAGTCAAGAGTCCCAAGGCCAGCCATCACTCTGGTTACTCTGGTGCTTCCACTGTCAACAGCTCTGGAACAGTCACCGGCGCAAGCACTGGCCCAGGCACCGCCACCAGCACAGCCCCCGGCACTGGCATCAGTGGTGGGCTCAAAACTAGCATCAACACTGACATCAGCAGTGGAATCGGCACCAACCATGCCGGACCTAGTAACAATCGTGCGCCTAATCATTTGCCATCAAGCGGTTACCGATCGCTACTTGAACGCACTCAGCGGGGCACCAACAGCAAGAGCGCCACTACCAGCAAAGATGTGGGTGAACCTAAGGATGGCTTGCTGGATGAATATCGCACACATTTGCTATGGGATTACTATAGAGTGGACACACCAAATGGAACATCGCAGCCGGAGCTGACTGCGTTGCCATTCGAAGCACAGCAGCGTGTTCTGCTCACCGAAATCCTATACTGTTTGAGTGGAGTGCGTGGCACATATATATTAATAATGCCCCACGATGAGGAGGCGCAGGGTTTGGCCAAGTACGAGACACAGTTTAGTCTGCATGTTCAGGTGGATAAATCGCTGGTCGAGATGGTGAACGAAATATTGCCATTGGCCTCATACTTTATGGGCATTCAAAAGGTCATCGCACTGACCGACGGACATGGCCAGGTCAACAATGCCCTCAACGCCGCCTTGCACGCCATTAGCCACGACTTCTATGTGAGTTCGATGGCTCTCAGCCAATCGGAATTGTATGTTTTGACCATTCGAATTGTGTCTCTTGCAGATGCTGCTGCAGCAGGCCGAGATGGAGCTCTTGAAGAATGATCTAACAGTGGCCAAGCTGCTGTACTATCTACAACCCACCATTTGGGTCATAGGCGAGATTTGGACAACTCTGGCTGAAGTGGATATGGTAGCTATTAAAAGTTCACACATTATGCACAGATAATAATGTCCATCTCACGTTGTTTAGAACAATTACCATGGCGCCGCTGTCCTAACCCATCTCTGTGATCGCATTAAGCAATTGGAGGGCGATAAATGTGCCCAGGAGCTGATCATCGGGCTGGCTCGGAAGGCAGCAGAGCCGTATATGCGCATGCTACAGCTGTGGATCCAGAAGGGCATCATTGTTGACAGCACACACGAGTTTCTGGTCGAGGACAATGAAGTCATCCACAAGGACGAGCTGCCCGAACATTATTCGGATGACTACTGGGAGAAGCGCTATACAGTCTGCTCAGAATGTATTCCATCGTTTCTCGAAAAGCACGCCGACAGAATATTGCGCACGGGCAAATACTTAAACGTGATCAGACAGTGTGGCCAGCGAGTGATGCCCACGCAGCAAATGAATCTTGAATATGACCCAACCAATGAGCTGCACGTCTTTGTGATCAACGATGCGTATTATTTCGCGGCGCGCATGTTGCTCGATGTGCTGCTAACCGAGAACGATCTGATGGGGCATCTGCAATCAGTGAAGCGTTATCTGCTGCTCAATCAAGGTGATTTCACCATGCAATTCATGGATGCCTGCGAGGATGAGCTGGCCAAGAATGTGGATCTAGTGCTGCCCATGACCTTGGAGAATTTGTTGGGCCTGACCTTGCGGCTCTCTTCCGCACGCAACGATCCCTATAAGGATGACCTGCACTGCGAGCTCCTCACCTACGATCTGGTCACACAAATGTCCAAGATTATGAATCAGCAAGAGGGTGAGTAATAGTTGCAACTGCATCGACTACAACAACATTGTCTTGTAACCAATATCATTCTATGTTTTAGAGTACTGGAAGACCTCAGATCGCCTCGACTTGAGCGGCTTGGAGTGCTTTGCCTTCACGTACGAGGTGAAGTGGCCAGTTTCCTTGGTGCTCAATCACATAGCCATAACAAAGTATCAAATGCTCTTCCGCCAACTCTTCTACTGCAAACATGTCGAGCGTCAGCTGTGCAAGTGAGTAACCGATATACATATTTATATACATATATTCATTCATTCATTCACTCCATTATGTTTGCAGGATTTGGAAAGAGAACTCCATAGCCAAGAAGTTCTCGCCGCTAGCTGCCGAGCTCTATCGTTCGGCCTTCACGCTGAGGCAGCGCATGATGAACGCCGTTCAGAATCTGGAATACTACATGATGATCGAGATAATTGAGCCGAATTGGCATATATTTATTGAGAAGATGAAGAAAGTGGAGAATGTGGACATGGTGCTCAGTCTGCACCAGGACTTCCTCGATCTGTGCCTTAAGAATTGCATGTTGACTGAGACGTCGCATCTGAATCGTGCCATATTCAAATTATGCAAGATCTGTCTTAAGTTCTGCGAGTTCATACAGGTAACATGACTATAGAGAATTACCCAATGTATACCTCTATATATACATATGTATATATGCCAAGTTAGAGCTTAATTGAATGTCTTGTCTTGTGCCTTGTATACCTTTCTCTCTCTTTCTCTCCCACTCTCTCTCTCTCTCGCTCTTTTCCATGCCTGTTTGAATATATCTGAAAAAAAAAAACAAAATTATATATATATATATATATGTATGTGCGTGTACTCCCAATCAAAATCAAGCGCTCGCAACGTCTCTTTCGCGATGCGGAGCTCAAGTCCATGGTCTGTGATAGCAGCGATGAAAATACGGATCATTCCGACTATGAGCTAGATATGGCGGATCGTCTACAGGTATACACCATTATAATGGCCAATGGAGCTCCACAAATATTTACACACATATTATTATTTCATATCATTCGATTTTTGGATACATTCAAATTCATATATGTATGATATTATTTTCAATGAATTTTGAGTTTGTTTCTCAATTGATCTCTGAATCAAGCGTAAACTTGACTGTCGCTGGCTTTATATACATGCACCTATATCAAGTTAATCCTTGTTTTATATCAATTAATCTCTCATTTTGTTCATTTTTATTGTAATTTAAATGTTTATATGTTCTTTATATCTATATATTTAGATCCGTCAAGTTCCTGTTCATTTTGCTAACACTCTCTTAGCAACTCAATCCTGAAAATGTTTATCCTTAAATCGAATTATATATTAATTCCATTGATTTGTTTTTTCTTTCTATTTATTTACTAATTTATTATTCTTTTTCTAATTATTATTATTACTGTAACCTGAATCTTTGATTATATTGTATCTATAGCTCTTTCTCATATGATCTCATTATCTCTCTGTGTATAGGCGGAGACCACACTGGATGAGACGGATACGTTTGCAGAGCGTGTGAAACGCTTTGATCTGGAATTTACGGGCATGCTTATATCGTTCCTTAAACAAATTAACGATCTGGCCAAAGATAATACCGCCGATCGCTTCATGAATCTCGTGCATCGCATCAACTTCAATGGCTTCTACTCGGAGCAAATGGACAAGCTGTGCGTCAAGGATGCCATGGGCTAGACGCAGATCACTCAATCAACTCCAACTAAAAGCCAGAAAGCCGAAATTATGAACACAAAAAGACAAGAAACTTGAGTATTAATCAGACAAATCGAATTATATAGAAAACCAAATTGGCATTGCCTTTCGTAGGCCTGATATACATATGGATATATATATGGGCATTCAGATATATATATACATATAGATATATGTACATATATAAGTATATCTATATGTGCATATAACTCTGTATACGTATATTTGTATATCGGGCATGTGAATCCATCAACCATCATTCCCGCCTATCAACTACACCCATTAATAGCTCTAATGCCATATATACGATTAATAAAGTCAAATGTTTTTCCATTTTGTTTTGCCAAAAATTATACAAAACTCTTGTTGTGATGTGCGAACGAGGGCAGCTCTACTCAACGGCAATGGAACCGAGTGGCCTTGTATGTAAAATGGCTCGTTCCCAAAAGCGTAGAGTAGGGCTGTACCCGCTGTGAGCTCTGAGTGGATTGCTGTTATCGATAACGCGCACTTGCCCAGCTGCAATCCAATCCATCAGCATATGACAGGGGAGAATCGAGTTACAGTTTAGATGCCAACATCCTAGCCGATTATGTTATTGTTATCGTTACTTCGACTGCAGTTTTATCGGTTTTTTACTGGATGGGGCAATCTAGGTGGGACGTATGTAAGTATCTTAGAGATCATTTCGGTATCAAGTGAGACTACTCATCGTCCATCATCATGGATATTATGATTGTTATCGTTATCACCATCGTTATCGATAACCATCTTCGTTGACGTTATCGATAAGCTGCTTTAGTTAACTTGCAGAGCTCCAGCTTTGACATCATCCGTCATCGACAGCACAGTAATCGCGATCACTATCGTTATCGGCTGCGGTCGTTGTGCAATTACTCGTGACATGCTGTCACTGATGTGCCAAATAAAAATCAACGTACATTTTCTTACGAGCAGTACTCACTATTTGACACTTCAGGAACAACTAGTCACCAGATGCGCGCATTCTCTATCGATATTATCGACTTTGAGCGTAAGAGTTGGCACCGCATATGAGCCAAGAAGCCCTTTCAGACTGTTATCTATGGCCAATACAACAAATCACATAGCAATCAAAAAGGGCCTCTGGCATCATACGCCCATCGATCGCGTTGCACTCCCTAGCTGAGATTCGATACACACTTATCGATAATGCTGGACTTGGACTGTGGACTCTTGGCTGCTAAAGTGCCTTATTTTCGCATGCATGCTCCCTTGGAACTGATAACACGTAAACATATCATAAATATTGGCCACGTTAGCAACTAAGCACCCAACGAGTCGAAATCTATTCGAAATCCGGTTTCAGCGAGAACGACTCACATTTGTGGAATTGGTGTCCGCAATCGAGTTGTGTTATTAGAGTACTTTGCGCATATTCACACGTTTCACAGCTTCTTTTACAGCACTGGTTCGGTATTGTATGAAACACGTTATAGTAGTATTATATATATGTGGGTAGGAATGTACATCATAGCACTAGCACTATATTATGGTATAGTTTATAAAGTAGTATTGTATATAGCACATATCTAGTACAGTTTCTCTAGATTTTCGACACGTTTTGCAGCACTGGAAACACTTTTTACACTCAACACTATTTTTTACTTCTTGCTCTTCACTTTAGCTTTATTAAGGGAATCAACCCGGTAAGACTCGGTGCATTCATTTATTGCACAGCTTATTTTACAACACTGTTCGGGCGGAAATCAACATTAGTTGCTTATATGAATGTTTCCCAAACATCCAGTATTTCCCAATCTTTGTTGTTTAACTTATTAAACTTGTAGTTTTTCGTTTCGCAATGCGTTTCACAACACTGTTCAGAGTACTACACCCACACTGCTCCAATAGTGGTTCGGCTAGGATCTTTGTCTTGGGGAAAGCGCCTCTTAACCCTAACCTTGCCTACTTTCCCTTTCACGGGTAGTGAAACTGCTCTCTGTTTACGTATTCCTTTTAAGCTTTCCAGCTTAACAATTTTTATCATGCCCAAGTTCATCTTGGCAATTTAAAGCCCTCTTCCCGCTCAGCTTTTGTTTTACCTAGCTCTAGGCCGCTGCTGGGCTTTGGCTAACTATCGCACGTATAGGCAGGCACGTGCGCCCATTTGCCATTTACCAATACTGGAAAAACGCTTACCTAACGGTATCGCAGATCATGCAACCAATTTACATCACAGCTTTGCGCAATTTCAACAATAACAGCCCGAAATGTGAATAGCGACCGAAATTGATGGCTTTGTCTGCGAGCCGAGCCCATCCCACCTTCGCTTGCCTCCCCTACAAACTGTCCCTGCCTCCTGTCCACTGCCCCTGCCCCTGCCCCACCCGGCACCCACCCCCCTCTCTGTGTTGTCTGGTTGGAAAATGTGCCAATTTTAATTTGCCATGGATTTTCATCATGTTGCGCACTTTTTGCAACGGCCAACGGCCAACGGCCGCAACTGCCCGTTAAGAGTTGCTGTCCAGACATAGGGACAACGACCCATACATCTGCACACACACACGCACACACAGATGTAAAAGCCAATTTGCCTTGCATATTCATAGCATTCAAATAAAACGGCAAAAGGCGGGCTGTTCAATCAATAATCGACTTTGGATGAAATGAGCGAGAGCCTATCGACTAGGGGCCTATGATTGAGGTATATGTATATGTGCGTAAGTATGTGTATATAAAGTTTTGTCTAATGCTCATGGAACATTTAGAAAGTCCTGAAAGCTAGAGATCTATCGAGTTTAATGGATATATTTGATCTATAGATGTATATAAAATAAATTTTGCTTCTTAAAACAGATTGTCAGAATATTTAGCTTGAGCCTAGAGAGCTTAGCTTCGATATACATATGTATGTATATTGTATATGGTAAGATTCAGACAGTTCTCATTAGGCTCTGTAATGGATATATTTTATCTATATATGTATATCAAATGACTTTTGATTCTTAAAGCAGATTATCTAGAATATTTTGCTTAATTCTAGAGAGCTTAGCTTCCATATATGTATATTGTATATGGTAAGATTCAGATAGTTCTCATTAGGCTTAGTTTATTACTGGAGAACAGAAAGGTAAAACGCATCTATAAGCGACTGGGATTCCAAGTTACGTAATATATTAGCTATACTCGGCTCAGATCAACTTGGCATAAGTATTTCCACCCTTGCAACGGTATCAATGAATTCAACAACTTATCAAGCGACCCTCGCGAATGAGTGCATGTCTGTGTATTTGGTATGCTTATATATGTTATATGTTTACCATTAGCTGACGTTGTAGGCGGTGCGCCTACCAGCCAGCCACGCCTGCCAGCCAACCACCCTACCGCCCATCCCGCCCCACATCCAATTGGCAATTTAAGCTCGCATGAATTATCGACAATCAATTATGGTTGCTGGCCCATGGACATGGACAACGACAGGCACACACACACACACAGATAGAGAGAGAGAGAGAGAGTGATGTGTGTGTGTGTGTGTATGTTAATTAATCAAAAGCCCATCCATCTATCGATTGGGCATTTACTGACAGACATATGCAAATTAAAAGCATACAAGCAGCTCATTAATGGGCACTTGAAAGGCCCAGCAATAGCAATGATGATGACAATGATGATGATGATGATGACGACGATGACGATGATGACGATGATGTTGCTAACAAGTCAGGCTAGGTCTTAGCCGCATACGCAATGCAGTTCTGTCAAATCAAAGAAAATATTCCCAAGGAATCTCGTCTATAAGGCAAAGAGTTACTAGACCTACAAATTGTAGATGAAATGGAAACAATATAGCAGATCAGCTATAGAGCTGAATCACTTTAACTAACAAAGGAAAGTCCTCTAAACATCAGAGCAGATCAAGCTTATACAGATGAACCATTATGAGCGACCTCAAATGAACTATTTGACTCCCAATAGAAGAAGAAACCGAACTAGATCATAGATTCTGAGCCATTCAGCCCCAACAAACCTCTACAGAACCAGAAGCAAACAATCTAACCAAACTATTCCCAACTAATCCTCTTACAGAAGAACATGAGCTGCTACGCTATTGAGTCGGTAGTGGAACAGCCTGGAATGAATAGCCATATGATGGGACATGCACAATTTTGAAGTCAGTGCCGCTGTCGCAGTCTCGATAACGTGAATATCTCATCGATTATCGAATGGTCAGACGATGAGATGTCCGCGCAATCGGAACCGGGCTGGGCCAGAACAACGAACTGTTTCATATTGTTTAACTCATGTAGTAGTTGTTGTTGTTGTTGTTGTTGCTGATACAGCGCATCGACATCGATGAGAACTAATCCAATGCGAAATGCTCATTGGAGATGCTTTCATCAATCGCGAGGGGCTGCACCCGAAGCGTCGCTAGCGATAACGATAACGATAACACTTTGGGCCAGTTGTTACAACTGCGGCTACGTGGTTTGTGATTGCAGACACCCCATACATCTTGTATTTAATACAAAATTGTCGCACATACGGGATATAGGGAGTATCTAAAATCAAAGACCATATTAGATGCTAGCATTTAGCCCAATATCGATATTTATCGAGCCAAAACTAACAGCGTTGCTACTGAATTATTGCCTTTGAGTTGGAATGCGAGACTCACTGTTATCGTTTTCTACATAACAGATGAGTTTCGTGATTCCAAATCAACAGCAATTGTGAACGGACTGTTATCGATAAATCTATCGATTGTTCATCATTCGTTCACAGATGATGGATGGGGTGGATGAATAGACGGGATAGATATATGGATCGATAGATAGATAGGTAGATAGATAGATAGATAGGTAGATGGATAGATAGATAGATAGATAGGTAGATAGATAGACAGATAGATAGATAGACAGAAAGCTAGATAGATAGATGGACAGATAGAAAGATATATAGATAGATTGACAAATATATTGATAGATAGATAGATATATAGATAGATAGTTAGATGGATTGATAAATAGATTGATAGATAGACAGATAGATAGATAGATAGATAGATAGATAGATAGATAGATAGAT